GCTAGCACTAGCCTAGGCTAGCTACTCCTAGCTACAGAGAAGTGCAGCAGAAGGTGCTATGTTTTAAAGTGGTTCTTAGAGTGGACAATTAGAGTTACTTAGATACAGAGATATCACCGAAAAAATAACTTAATTCAGAAGGAGATCGTCTGGACAGCAACAACACTCAATTATCAAAACAGGAAGTGAACATGATACGTCTCATCAACAGCAGCAGTAGCTCCCTTATATGTACATATTTTAAACTCAAAAATAGTCTGGAAATATTTTTGGGGGGTTATTTCTTCCTAGTATTAATTGTTGTTGCACCATGTATTGTTTCAAGACTGATTTGCCACCATGTCAAGTTACAACTTAGCAGTAGTGGTATAGTTGAATGGGAAAAAGGAGCTAATGTAGGTAACACTCATAAATGTTTGTAAAATATTTTTTCAAAGATTGGGTGGAAAATTACAACTGTTAAAATAATGGGTTGTTTCAATACATTGATGGTTAAATGTCTCTTTACCAATTTATTGTACCACGTTAATTACTGAGTTCAAGAGGATAACAACAGTTGATTTGCTAGCAAAAGTCCTCTCCGAGCTGGATGCTCAATTATCAAAACTGCTCAAAGGTGGTGCTCAGGGAGGAAAGATCAAGAGCATCCTGATGCCTCTGACGTAAGTAAGACATTTTAGGATGAGGGGGAACCTTTTCACAGTATGAAAAATGATTTGATTCTGATTGTAGGTTTTGTTGGAATTGACAAAGTTAACCTGAATAACCTCTTGAAACCTCTTTGCCAAGTGCGGAGCCTATTTTCCCCCTCCTGCTCTCCCTCAACTGGCTGGTGCCTGGGCTCTCCGATGCACTGGTGGAGCCCAGGGTTTGGGGGTGGATGACCGGAGAAGCCACCAGGTAGCCGGAGTCTAGCCGGGGTCTGGCTGGGGCCCCCACCAGGGTGTGGGGCGCCCCTGGGGCATCAGATCCCTGGGGCCCATGGCCGGATTGACTGCGGGGTGGTTGGCTGCCGGCAGAGCCTGCGGACTTGTCCCTGCGGCTCCCTTGGGCTCTAGTATTGCGGTGGCTGGGGACTTCCTCAGGGCTGTCTCTCCTCCTCTCTTGGTGGGGGTCGGATTTCCTGGGCAATTATTCTT